TCAAGTTCAACTATAAGAGAAGTGTTAAATAACTAAAGAAACTTAACATTTTTATTGAGAGGACTATGGGAGAATTGGTACTTATATAATGTTAGAGTATGAAATAGTATGATACTTATGAAGGGCACTTTGAAGATATTTTTAAAATTAAACATGCTTTTATTCTTTGATCTAGTGATCCTTCTAGGAATTATCCTATATATCTGCAAATGTAAAGCTAATTGCATATATTAGGTCATCGGGGAAGTCATGACATGTTTTTCTATGCAAAAATGCATCATGACCTTCCCAGTGACCCAATATAATACTGCAGAATGTTTTTCTTTTTTTCTTTTTTAACAGATGATAATCAATTTATTAAAATAGTTGACTTAGGTATCTGAAATGGTGACTTCAACCTCAACTCCTGGTTCAATACTGATGGAAATAGTCTGTTTAACAATCTCAGAAGGACTGTGCAAATTAGTGAGTCGCTGTGGATTCTCATCTGGAAATGATCCCAAGTTTTAGAACCTTCACCACAAGGTGTTTTTCTTGTAGTGATTCTCAAAGTCTTGGTAGGTATCCTAACTCTCCTTTCACCTTGAGATTTTTTTCCTTTGTACCTCTGATTAAGTCAGCACACACTTTCTCCAGGGACTTTATGAGGGCTAGTTCAAAGTAATTCTCATTTGGTGAATGGCCACCTCTGGCTCCAGGGCTGTTTTTCCAATATCTTTAAAAGCCGTGGCTGAGGCGCGGCTTCCTGACCAACGTGTTCCTTGGTGAGAGCCAGCAGTGGTGAATCAGGAGCAGAGCCTCGGCTGACCAGAGCTCCGCGCCACTTGCCTCTGGTGCTTCTGCAAAGAGCCTGCAGAATGTTTTTCTTTGTAAAAGGTTAGAAACAACCCAGAGGCCCATCATGAAAGGACTGGAACAGAGCCAGTAGGTGGCATGATACTTAAGGTGCTGGACTTTCACATGGCCAATCACAATTCGAGTCTCAGACTCTGTGGCTTGAAAATCACTTGGGGCATGTGTTTTTGTGTGTCCAAAAACCCAAGAGGAGAATGGAGGAGAAGGGATTGCAGCATAGATAGCCATGCCCCCTGGGAGGTGATTTTTTTACTTTCGCTTTCAGATTTGTCTCTTTCTGGCTAGTCTGTGCGCCCTGTTGCAAAAACATAAAATAAAAAAGGGTGGGGAGACTGCATCATCTGGTAGATTTACATGATACAATATTAAAATGCTGTAAGAATGAATGAGGACACAGTCTATGTGATTATATAAAATTGCAAGGAAGTAGTAAGTGGGAAAAGGGTGTTTAAAAGTAGTATATATAGGGACCAGCAGTTGGCGTAATGGCTATGTCGCTGGACTCCCATGTAGTCGACCGTGGTTGGCGTCCC